ACGACGACGACGACGTACAGACGACGACGACGCCAACGTCATACCAATATACGACCACGAAATTTTTTTGCGGTCGTATAAAAAGAAATGAATGACAGACCATAAATTTTAGTGTCTACCCTAAATATTTTTTTGCCATTTTGAACCAGCATTATTGAAGTCAGAATGTTTTCTCTGTTGACACAAATTAGAAACTTTAAAAACTAGAGGCTCTACAGAGCCTGTGTCGCTCACCTTGGTCTGACTCTATGTGCATATTAAACAAAGGACAAAGATGGATTCATGACAAAAGTGTGTTTTGGTGATGGTGATGTGTTTGTAGATCTTACTTTACTGAACATTCTTGCTGCTTACAATTATCTCTATCTATAATGAACTTGGCCCAGTAGTTACAGTGGAAAATATTTTGTAAAAATTTAAAAAAAAATGTACAAAATTTATGAAAATTGTAAAAAATTGACTATAAAGGGCAATAACTCCTTTAGGGGTCAATTGACAATTTTGGTCATGTTGACTTATTTGTAGATCTTACTTTGCTGTACATTATTGCTGTTTACACTTTATCTCTATCTATAATAATATTCAAGATATTAACCAAAAGCTGCAAAATTTTCTTAAAATTACCAATTCAGGGGCAGAAACCCAACAATATGTTGCCTGATTGGTCTGAAAATTTCAGGGCAGATAGATCTTGACCTAATGAACAATTTTATCACCATCAGATTTGCTCTAAATGCTTTGGTTTCAGAGATATGAGCCAAAAACTGCATTTTACCCTATGTACTATTTTTTAGCCATGTCGGCCATCTTGGTTTGCGGGCGGGGTCATCGGACACATTTTTTAAACTAGATACCCTTATGATCATTGTGGACAAGTTTGGTTAAATTTGTCTTAGTAATTTCAGAGGAGAAGATTTTTGTAAAAGATTACAAATTTTATGAAAAATGGTTAAAAATTGACTATAAAGGGCAATAACTCGTTAAGGGGTCAACTGACCATTTTGGTCAAGTTGACTTATTTGCAGATCTTACTTTGCTGAACATTATTGCTGTTTACAGTTTATCTCTATCTATAATAATATTCAAGATAATAACCAAAAACGGCAAAATTTCCTTAAAATTACCAATTCAGGGGCAGCAACCCAACAACGGGTTGTCCGATTCATCTGAAAATTTCAGGGCAGATAGATCTTGACCTGATAAACAATTTTACCCCAATGTCAGATTTGCTCTAAATGCTTTGATTTCAGAGATATAAGCCAAAATCTACATTTTACCCCTATGTTCTATTTTTGGCCATGGCGGCCATCTTGGTTTGTTGGCCGGGTCACCGGACAAATTTTTTAAACTAGATACCCCAATGATGATTGTGGCCAAGTAGTTTCAGAGGAGAAGAATTTTGTAAAAGTTAACGGACGACGGACGAAGGACGCCAAGTGATGAGAAAAGCTCACTTGGCCCTTTGGGCCAGGTGAGCTAAAAATGAAACAATTTGGGGGAAAAGATACCAAGAAAACCAAACAACACAATTGCCAGAGGAAAAGTGACAAAAGGACAAACAAAAGTCCATGAAACACTACAAACGAAACTAATGAGTGAGAAACATGAACCTTCATTTTATGAATTGAACCCAGAAATAAAACTGGTCCCAGATACTGTAAATTCAGAAATAATTGCATGCATTTATTATTGTTTTTTTTAAAGAATGGACAAAAATGCAAGATTAAATATTGGTATTTCAGGAAAATCTGCATACAGATATATATGTATCAGATAACAGAATGCAAGTTCTTATTATTGCAATAATCACCAAGTCACATTATTCGAATTAATAAAAACCTTGCAATAATTTCTGAATTTACAGTAGTCTGGAAGTGAACATTTGAGATACCATTAAAACATACTGATATCATGTTTTTTACTACCCCTACATGGAGGCTATATTTACATTGCGTCATATATCAAATTTATTTGTTCAGTGTATGATCACTTGTTTTTGTTAATACGTCTTTTGATTGAGTTAAGCCATTTCAATTGATATTTATAGTGTGTCTTTCTATGTTGTGATGTTACACTATTGTTTCAGGAAGGGTGAAGGTTGGTGCCTATTAAAATGTTTAAACCTGCTGCATTTGTTTGTACCTGTCCTAAGTCATGAACCTGATGTTCAGTGGTTGTCGTTTGTTGATGTGGTTCATAAGCGTTTCTCGTTTCTCGTTTTTTTATATAGATTAGACCGTTGGTTCAACTTGGTTGTCCTGTTTGAATGGTTTTACACTAGTCATTTTTGGGGCCCTTTATAGCTTGCTGTTCGGTGTGAGCCAAGACTCTGAGTTAAAGGCCGTACTTTGACCTATAATGGTTTACTTTTACAAATTGTGACTTGGATGGAGAATTGTCTCATTGGCACTCATACCACATCTTCTTATATCTATATAGATTTCAAAATATCTTGTATAAAAAATTAAATAAATGGTGCAACACTACACGTCTTTGAATTTGGTTTGTTTGTCTGATGAGTACATGACAGTGTGATGAAGGCATGGAAGACAATACATGGCAATTGAAAGATAGGCGACACTAAAACTACAGGTTGCCTTTAAGAAATCAGACAAGATCAAAACATTGTATAAATCTGGAATGCAGTGAATGTTTTATTTTATATATAATTTGGCACCAACAGTGAGGAAACAAAAAGATCATAATAACATATTACAAGATAGAAATATTTCTGTCATTATCATACATAAAAAGAAGTATCAAGGGCAGAAACAAAAATAGTACATTGATTAAACTATTGCTGTAATAAATATTTTGTTTATTCTTCTGGCCTGACATCAAAGAACAAATGATATAATCAGTAAAGGAAATAAGAATGACATTCAAGTATCTTATGATAACTATGATTAAATGGGTAAAAAATGGGTAAAAAAATAACATGAATGGTACCAACTTTTCAGCACCAACGGCACATTTCAACAATGCATGTCTTTTGAGTGTCAGATGCTCAAACTAATATTTGAAAATCCAAAAGTTAAAACAAACATTATAGGGCTGATAAAATCTAAAAGGAACACAAAAAAAGACCCAAAAGGCCTAGCAAAACTAAGGAAAACAAGTAAAAAGTTAATACAGCAAACCAATGCTCCCTGAGCCCCACACTGATAGATAGTCCCAAACAATAATTCTGAAATATAATATAGTCATAGTATTAAAGAAATCCCAGAGCCCTAATATACAGAAAAGGATGCCTAACCAAAAGGAAGTGAGTGCCATTGGTAAACCTACAGCAATTGATTGACTTTACAACAACTACAGCATTTGAGTGCCATTGCCAAACCAAAAACATTTGATTGTCTTTACCAAACCAACAGCGTTTGATTGCCTTCACCAAACCAAAAACATTTGATTATCATTGCAAAACCAAACACATTTGAGGTTAATTGCCAAACCAAAAGCATTTAAGGTTACTTGCCAAAGTAAAGGCATTTGAGGTTCATTGCCAAACCAAAAGCATTTGATTATCATTGCCGAACCAAAAGCATTTGATTATCATTGCCAAACCAAACACATTTGATTATCATTGCCAAACCAAAAGCATTTAAGGTTACTTGCCAAAGCCAAAACAGCAAATGCATTTGACTGCCTTTACCACACCAAAATCATTTTATTGCCTTTACCACAACAAAAGCATTTAATTGCCTTTACCAAACCAACAGCATGTGATTGCCTTTACCTAAACAACAGCATTTGATTGCCTTTACCAAACCAACACAGCATTTGATTGCCTTTTACAAACCGACAGCATGTGATTGCCCTTACCAAACCAACAGCATGTGATTGTCTTACCAAACCAACAGCATTTGATTGCCTTTACCAAACCAACACAGCATTTGATTGCCTTTTACAAACCGACTGCATGTGATCACCTTTACCAAACCAACAGCATGTGATTGTCTTACCAAACCAACAGCATTTGATTGCCTTTACCAAACCAACACAGCATTTGATTGCCTTTTACAAACCGACAGCATGTGATTGCCTTTACCAAACCAACAGCATGTGATTGTCTTACCAAATCAACAGCATGTGATTGCCTTTACCAAACCAACATCATTTGATTGCCTTTTCCACACCAACATGCTTGATTGCCTTTACAACACCAAATCATTTGATTGCCTTTACCAAACCAACAGCATTTAATTGTCTTTACCACACCAAAAACATTTGATTGCCTATACCACACCAAAAGCATTTGATTATTCACCACACCAAAAGCATTTGATTGCCTTTATCACACCAACATGCTTGATTGCCTTTACCACACCAAATTCATTTGAATGCCTTTACCAAACCAACAGCATTTGATTGTCTTTACCACACCAAAAGCATTTGATTGCCTTTGCCATAGCAAAAGCAATTAATTATTTACCACACCAACAGCATTTTATTGCCATTGCCAAACCAAAAGCATTTGATTACCATTGCCAAACCAAAAATGTGATTCCCATTGTCAAACCAATCTATGACACAAGAAAGACCTCAGGAATTTTCTTTTGTTTTCAAATTTTGACTGAACCAAAATTTTAACTGTAAATCAGACTGTGGAGAAAAATATTTTTAAAGTATAGACTAAACAAAATAGCCATCATACAGCCTTGAAAATCCATTTATACTCAATCCTAAATACCATGAAGCAGAAATGGCAAAGAGTTTGTTTGTTGAATGAATAATGCATTTACTTAGATGTAATCAGAGACATGAAATGTTAATGTCAATAAACAGCTACCTTGGCCTAACAACTTGTTAGATAAGAAATTACAATTAAAGATCATATCTTCCTTAATGAGACCAAAAAATACAAGTTTTTATTTCGCAAGCAGTAAACTAGAATGAAGTATTTGGCAAAAACTATAGAAACTTATATAACCTTTGAAGAAAAACTATGCATAATATTTCAAATCACAAAGTGAAAGTAAGCGATAAGAAATGTAACTTACGAATTGATCAGTTTCATCAAATAAGTCTTCACTTCCTGAAAAAAAAACCATATATCTCTTTGATAAAAACTGGAATAAACAAAGTTTCAACGCTCAATATCTGACAATGAATTATATGCATTTAGATAAAAAGAACCATCTTTAAACAAGTTAGGCAATGCAAGATTTAATAAAAGATTTTTATCTAGAATATGCAAAGTTTTTTAGCTAATAAGTATTGAATTCATGAAGTGTGTTAAAAAACAAAACATATGTAATGTTTTATGGATATCATACAATGTCATTGATTGATTGATGTTTGTTTCACGTTGCCTCAGCATAAAAAAAAAAAATCACAGAAAGAGTGGTGCATCCACTTTCTGTTTGCCGATAGTTTGAAATTTTACAACACTCACTGTACAAGGAAAATTTCATCAAATGGAAGGAAATAATCAGTTATGCTTATGAAATAATCCGTTATGCCTATGTTACCCCCAATCAATTGCATGCAGTGATGCAGGTCCAGAACCTGTATTATTCCTGTTTTCACCAGGTAACAGTTAACACACATTTTTTTATATTAATCTCAACAAAAATAGTACAAAATTAAAAAAAAAAACTGATAGAAATTCATTTTCACTTGTTTTTTTACAAAAAAGTACTTAAATTCAATATCAATTTTATCATATTTTTTTTGTTTCTTAATTTAACACTCTTGAACATGTTGAAGTGTTCTAGAATCATGTATAACTAAGTGTTCTATGTATAACAATTTCACTTATTTTAACAGCAGTTATTTCTAAAAGCAAAGATTTACTAGAAAATCTTCTGGATGTAATTATTAGCTTAAAGTTTGTGTCATTATATGATGATGACTGTGACATCCTTAAAGGTGATATATTAAGGAAATTTTTTTTTACAACAAATTAGCAATTTTCAGAAACTTTTTAGCTAAATTAACCAAACATTTTCCAGCAAGTGAGGAGATGATTGCAAAATACTCTTCCAGCTTTAATTTAATATGTGAGGATTGCGCCCTACATTAATTCTCTGTATGAATCCCTGAACTATTAAGATTTTGCGCAATTTTGTCACTATACTCAATTGAGTCACTATAATCAATTTTGTCATAGTGACTATACTCAATTGTGTCACTATACTCAATTTATTCTCATACAGTTCATTTTAGAGACAATTCTATTGAAAAATTCTGCATGCCATGTAAGATTAAAACCTGTCAAAAGGTTTCAGAAAATATTAATGAGTACTTATTAAGAATACAATAGGAACTGTCTTAATTTTTCAATATATATATATGTTTCTCAGGTTTTTGGAAGGAAGAAAGAACAGACTTTTAACACTGAATTTTCTTTGCATTTTTATCCTCTCGAAAAATGAACCAAAAAAAAAAGAAAAGAAAAGTGCTATTTTTTAAGCTACACAAATATCACACTGCGCAATTCATTAACTAGACATAAGAAGAAATAAACGTTTGATGTAAACAAACAAATTAAAGAACGCCCACTGACTTGCACCATAGGTGCAATGAAACAACATCAGATTAGTCAGTATGGATATGCCAGGACAAGAACAACCGTTTTATCATTTAAACAATATATCAAATGTAGAATTACAATTTAGATAAGTTTGGATTCTTCCAATAAATTGGAAGAATCTCAATGTACTTTTTACAGATTAATTGATACAAATTGCATTACTTAGTGAAGATGCACAAGTAAATAATGATAAAACCTAATTGCATATAAAGATAAATAGTTTCAAAGCAATGTAAATTTCACTGAAACACAAATGTCTATTCTGCAGTTACTTTATGCACTCAAGACGCCAATTCACCCTGTTGTAGATACAGTTTTAGAATTGATAATTCATCCTACACAAGAAGGTTATGATAAGACTATGCATAAAATATCAGAGTTGTTGAAAGAAAATGACAGTATGGTGATTAATAAAATTAGGAAAGAAAACAATTTTGAGAACTTCTTTAAAATATTTCATGGCATGCATCAAGAATGTAAGAATTGGGGAAAAAAATATAATTATGACAGTTGGATGAAGTAGAATACATTGACAGACAGTGATGTACAGCTAAGAACAACGCATTACAATATTTGAAACATAAATATCTGGAGTTCATCAATGAAAGTACATTTTGTACACCAATATAGTCAAATATCAATATCCATATACTACCCTAGTGCAATTTGAAAGTCACAGATACTTGTGTATAGGTAAAAGTATTCTGGTGCACATTGAAAGGTATAGATATTAAAAACTTCTGGAGTAATTTGAAAACTGCAGATATTTAATTGTAGGTACATTTGTATTGGTCTTCTAGAGTAATTTCAAAGTTACAGATACTAAGATATAGGTACAATGTATTGGTCTTCTAGAGTAATTTGAAAGTTGCCGATACTTGGGTATTGGTCTTCCAGTGTTTTTTGGAAGTTGAAAATACTTATGTAGGGATCTTCTAACAAAATATTAAAGTTGCAGATACTTAACTATAGGTATTGGTCTTTTAGAGTAGTTAGAAAGCTTTTGATACTTAAGATTATTCTTTTAAAGTTATTTGAAAGTTGCAGATACTTGGGTATAGGTATTGGTCTTCTATAGTAATTTCAAACTTGCAGATACTTATTTATAGGTGTTGTCCTAGAGTAATCAGGTAGTTGCAGATACTTGGGTATAGGTATAGGTATTGGTCTTCCAGTGTTTTTGAAAGTTGCAGATACATGTACTTGATAAAAGTAGGGGTCTTCAAGAGAAGTTTGATAGTTGCAGATACTTAACTTTAGGTAAGTTTGAAAGCTGTTGATACTGGAGTATAGGTATTGGTCTTCTAGAGCAATTTGAAGGTCACTGAAGATTGCAGATATGCAAGTATAATAATTGGTCTTGTAGAGTAATTTTATAAGTACTAGAAACTTGGGTATAGGTCTTATAGAGTAATTAGAAAGTTGCAGATACTTAATTATAGGTATTGGTCTAGAGTAATTTGAAAGTACAGATACTTAAGTATAGGAATTGGTTTAGAGTATTTTGAAAGTACAGATACTTAAGTATAGGAATTGGTCTAGAGTAATTTGATAGTTGCAGATACTTGGGTATAGGTATTGGTTTTGTAGAGTAATTTGAAAGTTGCAGATACTTAATTATAGGTATTGGTCTAGAGTAATTTGAAAGTACAGATACTTAAGTATAGATATTGGTTTAGAGTATTTTGAAAGTACAGATACTTAAGTATAGGAATTGGTCTAGAGTAATTTGATAGTTGCAAATACTTGGGTTTAGGTATTGCTATGGAGTAATTTTAAAGTAGCAGATACTTAAGTGTAGGAATTGTTCTAGATTTATTTGATAGTTGCAGAAACTTTGGTATAGGTATTGGTCTTCCAGTTTTATTTGAAAGTTGCAGATACTTGTCTTTAGAAGTGGACTTCTTGTGTAATTTGAAAGTTACAAATACTTGAGTGAAGGTAGGATTTTTCCAGAGTAATTTGAAAGAAACACATCTTTGAGCATACCAATGACAGATTTAGAGGGGGGCTAGTCCCCCCTATGAAGCTACATATTTGGTTACTGTTTAAACTTTTGACAATTCCCACTCCTTATGTTGCCTTGGTGCCCTTTTACTCAAAATCCTGAATCTGCAACTATACAGATATAATTATGGTCTTTTACATTAATTTGAAAGTTGTTAATACCAAATTATGCAAGTCAACTTGTTTCAAAGTGCATACAAGGTGATTCAGTTAAAACAAATTAATCTTACTAATGATTTGGGGTGATTAATTCAAAATTTCTTTAAATATGAAATAGAAATATGCAGACCGAGGTCCTAAATCAAAAGAGTTAACATCAAAACTCACTCGACAACATTCTCTCTTTTGCATGCAGTGAATCAATCAACACAAGTATCAAGAGTGGGTTTAAAAAGAATCATCTTGTACATGTATAGATCGTTCATCAACATCTGTCAGAATACAGAACTAACTGCTAACTAACTTTGATTAATTTTTACATATGAATTAAAAGTTTAATAAGTACTTTTTGTTCATGTTCTACACTGGCATAGGAGTTGAAGGGCAAGGAGGGCAAAACTTTAGTTTTTGCCCGCCATACTTTTTGGCAAAAAGTTGATTGACAATATAAAACGAAAATGAAAGAGGACTGACTAACTCTGAGATTATTAGACTATAGAAAAGCTTTTTTTTATTTTGCTTGTCTCTTTCAGAAGTCCCCCTCCCCCTACTTTTCTGTCCACTCCTACACAACTGTGTAACTACATGAATGTTTAGATTTACTAATAACTTTTATGTCAGTTTAAACTTCATAAATTTCATGCTTTGGACAATAGTCAGTATAGCTAAATTTTACTTCAAAAACAATTTTACCAAGATGTACTATGAGTTATTGCTCTATAACTATATCAACTCTCAAGGTTTTGACTTTAACTAAGGAACTGAAATTGTGTCACATGATATGGCAATAAAATGCTCCACTGTGCACAGCTAGATACGACCGCAGAGGTCGATACGTGAAAAGTTGGGGCAAGTATGGACACTACATTCAAGCTTGATACAGCTCTGAATTTGGATTGTGATTAAATATTTGACATAGCATAGGTTTCTGACACAGACTGAATATGGTCTAAGAACATAAAAATTTGAAATTGGACATATACCCATTTATGGTCCAATATCCAAAATCTAAATGCATGGTAAGATTCAGAATATCAAAGAACTTCAACAATTCTTTTTTTTATGAAATCAAACAAAGTTTCATTTTTGACCCTTTCGACCTCAATATGGACCAATTTTATAATTGGCCTAAAATCCAAAATCTGAATACATGGTAAGATTCGGCATATCAAAGTACCACATAAATTCAGTTTTTGTTGAAATCAAACAAAGTTTAATTTTTGGCCCCGATTTGGACCAACTTGAAAACTTGGCCCAATAACAAAAATCTAAATAGATGTTTAGATTCAGCATACCAAAGAACCCAATAATTCAATTTTTGTTAAAATTAAACT